TCTCCCACTACGGATTCAACAAGACTTACCATGGAATTCGTCAAGACTACTACTGGCCAGGTATGGTAAATAGCATCAAACAGTACGTAAAACAGTGTCATACATGTCAGATGGCAGGCAAACCGAACATCTCCATTCCCAGAGCGCCACTGATTCCCATACAGGTGCCTGCGGAACCTTTCCACAGACTTATAATAGACTGTGTTGGTCCTTTACCTCGGACCAGTTCAGGTAACGCCTATATCTTAACCATCCTGTGTCCTACCACCAGATTTCCCATAGCAGTTCCAGTGAAGAACATCACGGCTGCTACGGTTGTAAAGCATCTATTGAAGATCTTCACTCAATATGGATTTCCCAGGGAGATTCAAAGCGACTGTGGTACCAACTTCACCAGTGATCTCTTCAAAAGGACACTGGAGGAGTTCAACATCAAACAGGTATTGTCCAGCCCCTATCATCCTGCTTCACAGGGTTCTCTTGAGCGTAGTCATCAGACTATCAAAGCACTCTTGAAAAAGTTTTGTAGTGAAACCTCTAAGGATTGGGATAAGCAAATTGACATGATAATGTGCATTTACAGAAGTCTTCCCAATGAGTCCCTAGGAGTATCTCCTTATGAGATGCTCTACGGCCGTAAGTGCCGTACTCCCCTTAAGGCTTTCAAAGACTCTCTCCGAGATGCCACCTTCAGTGAGCATCAGAATGTGCCCCAGTTTCTTCAAAACCTTCAACACATTCTAGAGAGAGTCCACCGTTTTGCCCATGATAATCTATTGAAAGCCCAGAGAGGATGAAGACTCATTACGACCAGACCAGCAAAGTAAGAAAATTTAAGCCGGGAGACTTCGTACTAGCATACTTTCCTATCCCAGGTTCTCCTTTACAAAACAGGTTTTCAGGACCCTACCGCGTCAAGGAGTGCCGAAACAACAATAACTACGTTCTCGAGATTCCAGATAGGCGGCGGAAGACCCAGCTGTGCCACGTCAACCTCCTGAAGCTGTATAATGGTACTCCTCCCACTGTCATGACAAATTATTCTACTTTTACAGAACCATACATCCACAGTGAGACCTTCCCAGCTTCTCCTCCCGAAAGCACCGACAAGGAGTCCACGCTTTCTCATTCAAAAATCCATATTGATAATCCCAACCATTTTCAGGACCCTAATAGTGCTCCTTTGCCATATTCTAATTCCACTCTCACCTCGTCAGATAAGCCCTTCATCCTCCATGTCGACGCCAGTGGTACCGACGTTGGTGGTGTCATGATGCAGCAACGAGGTGAGGAGAATACACCTGTCAGCGACTACTGCTACAAGGAACTACGGAACAATTAGCAAGGAGCTACTCTTCAACATCCTGAAGCTCCAGCACTTTACTCCACACCTGAAAAGTGCTCGGTCTACCATCAACACGGACCACACCACCCTAAACCTCCTGCAGCACGCCCACTTCTCATCTCAACGTCTTCTACTATGGGCTTGATAACTGCAGAAATTCAACCTGGAGACACGCTATACCAAGGTTCCGACAACATCTTAGCCGATGCTCCCTCCAGAGTTTATGAAGTAGAAGCGACTCCATCTATTACTCCACCACATAACGACGTACTTCTTCCAGAACCGCAGGCTTCGGGGGAGAGTTGTGACGATAATCTCCTTCAAGAGAGATTGAGCCTGCTCTTCCCTCCTAAGTTCGTCGCTATACATCCCTATACAACTAATATGGAAGAAATATCCAACAAATACAACACCAAGGTTTGCCAGAGAGCAAACGTATTCAGCACCAGGAACACCTGCTCCCCCCGCCACTCGAACCACCAAACTACCTGTCCGTCGCCTGCTCATCGCTGATTGGCCGGTGGTCAGTCGCACCTGCTTCTCCACCACCACACTACCTGATGTCTGGGGCCACCACGACCTAGAGGCCTCAGAATATCCAGTGCTTTCAACAAGTTCACACGTCTCGTTGGTAGACTAAGCTCTGGCTTACGTGTACTAAGAGAGGTGGCAGCTTAAAGCCAATATTCCTGCACCTATATATCTGATTGTACAGTGGTACCTCGGAATGCAATTGTCCCTGTATGCGAGGTTTTCGGAAGGCGAGGTGTATTTACTCCAAAAATTTGTCTCGGAAGGCGATGGTTACTTCGGGAGGCGAGTTTGGACGCGAGTTTGTTGATACGCGTACAGCCGACCTAGCGCGTGGTGGTTCGGCGATCGTCGCCCCTCCGCCCCGCCGCCCCTCAGTTTACCATTGTCTCGCGCTCAGTGACTACCCCCACATCAATTCTTGTCGCGGATTTTCAGTGTTTTGTTGGATTTTTGGTGATTTGTCTATACAATTTGTTATTATATATCTCACCATGAGTCCCAAGAAAGCCAGTGGTAAGGATAAAGGCCAGAAAGCTCATGTGAGGATGACAATAGAGGAGAAACAAAAGATCATTCGGAAGCATGAGAACGGTACACGTGTTGTTGAACTTTGTAGGCAGTACAACAAAGCCACATCAACAATATGCACTATACTTAAGAAGAAAAATAAGATTATGAGTGCTAATGTGGCAAAAGGAGTAAGAACATTAACGGCACAAAGACCACAAATACTTGAAGAAGTGGAAAAGTTGTTATTAATTTGGATACACGACAAGGAGTTGAGGGGTGATAGTGTTTCGGAGGCCATTATTTGTGAGAAAGCCAGGGTGTTGCACGAAGACCTTCTAAAGAAGACCCCTGCAACGAGTGATGCAGATAAGAAAGAGTTTAAGGCAAGCAGGGGCTGGTTTGAAAAATTTAGAAAGAGAAGTGGTATCCATAGTGTTACAAGGCATGGGGTTATGTGATGTGATTATGGAAGGGGACTCCCCTTCCAAACAGTAACTCCTCTCCTCCTCCCCCCTCCTCACCATCTTCCATACGCCTACAGCACTCGACAGCAAGGTAAGTAAAAACTGGAACATAGTTTTGTAGGTTTATTTAGATGAATTAGGTAAATTAGGTATAAAAATTTAGTTTGATGTGGGGTTTTTGGGGTAGTCAGGAACGGATTAATTCATTTCCCTTTATTTCTTATGGGGAAATTAACTTCGGAATGCGAGTTTTCGGAAGGCGAGGCGTCTCCAGGAACGGATTAAACTCGCATTCTGAGGTATGCCTGTATATTGTTCACTTGTTATTACTCACTTGTCTTAACGTAACTTTTCATTTTGTCATTTGATTATTCTTATTATTTTGATTGATTGATTTTATGTTCCAATTTGTATGTCCATTTTATTTATGTTTTGCTTTTCTAACGTAATTAAAATCTCATTGTTAAATTTACTTGTGTTTTGTGTGTCTTCCCATTACCTTACCACAGACGAAGTTCCAGATTTTCTCTTTTTTGTTTCTATATGTGACGAGGCCATACCCCTAGCTTTTGAAACAGCCGAACACCAACGCGTTACCGTCACAACACAAGGGGGCCTCGAGGGGCCTCGTAGCCTGGTGGATAGCGCGCAGGATTCGTAATTCTGTGGCGCGGGTTCGATTCCCGCACGAGGCAGAAACAAATGGGCAAAGTTTCTTTCACCCTGAATGCCCCTGTTACCTAGCAGTAAATAGGTACCTGGGAGTTAGTCAGCTGTCACGGGCTGCTTCCTGGGGTGTGTATGTGTGTGGTGTGGTGTGGAAAAAAAAAAAAAAAAAAAAAAAAAGTAGTTAGTAAACAGTTGATTGACAGTTGAGAGGCGGGCCGAAAGAGCAAAGCTCAACCCCCGTAAAAACACAACTAGTAAACACAAATGTAGATACTTATATATAATGTGTGTATTAGTGTAATAACAGCAAAAGGATTATGCTGGGAGGAGCCATATGGGTGACGGAGGTGACGTCATCTGCACGATTTGTCTAGCTGTTTAGAGGGTGGCCACTATGCTCTTTGGGCGCACTACAAGCTTAGGTATACAGTTACGGTGCATAAACAATGTAGATACTTATATATAATATGTGTATATAGGGTAATAACACTGCAAACAGTATTGTTGGGGGAGAAAGTTTAGTGCGTGTGACCTTGAAAGAGTGAGGGAGCTGCCAGCCGCCATCTGTGTATAGCGACGACTCTTAGTGCCTGAACTAACTATATCAGCTTAGCTGTACAGTTGTGGTGAACAAAATATATACATACTTATATATAACGTCTGTATATAGTGTAATAACACCACAAATGGTATTATTGGAGAAGAAAGTTTAGTGCGTGTGTTGAGGGAGTGGCAGCGAGTGGCTGGCTGGTGTGTGGCGGTAACTCTCGTTGCTTTTCGACTCTCAATACCAACATAGTGGTTCGTTATGGTGACCAAAACATGCAGATACTTATATATAACCTGTGTATAGAGTGTAATAGCAGCAAAACTATTTGTTTATTGTTTTATAAACATAATAATTGAATCACTAATATGCACATCATACTTTTGAGTATAGCGATTATTCACCACTTTTATTATATAAATATATTACAATACACACTATTGAATAATATTACTGCAAAAAACTAAGAAAAAATCAATTGGAGACATTGAAACAATTAGGTAATAATATCTTTGTGGCAATTCCCATCTGTCAGCGCGGGTGACGCTGACCGGGTCTGACGGCCGCTCTGTCAACGCCCACTTTTTGCCAGACTTCCTCGGTCAATTGCGCCCAAAATATGTCACCTACGATTTTTTTTTTCCCCCGTGCTCAGGGGACACAAATTAACATGTTTAGAAGACGAAAAAAAAAATGTTGAATTGTTTTTTCTTGCGCACAGGCGTGTAAATGTCCCCAGGACCCCTGAGCAGTGTAAGGGTTAATGATTCCAAGGATCAACATTCCCGTGACCCAAGCAAATGCTATACACATTTTCAGAACCTAACTTGATTGTAGTAGGGGAACTGCCTGTATACAGAATACCTGCCTCTTGCTATTTGCCTGCAAAATCGCTCATAACCTATTTTTTAATCTACATCAATTTCCTTACCTTCTTAATAATCCACTTTCCGTCTTCAACAGCTCGATTGATGATCTGCATTAAACGTTCCGGATCTATTTCTTCAGAATGTTGATTAAAGCCCTGTTAAAAGAATCCCTTTATATTTACAGTACATAACATAAATAAGAGTATACACCCATCCACTGGTAATTTCCATGTAGCCAAATATAGTTTTCAAGAAATTTATTGATACTGTCTTGTAATTATATTAATAGACAGAATATCTGTTTTAGATAATTATAAACCATAAATTGTCCAAACATGTTTCTGCTCATGGAAGACTAACATATTGGATATACAGTCAACTGCATTACATTAAAATTCTTATTTTATGTGCATATACCAATTTATACACCTCAAAACTACCCGATACTTATTACTTTACATTGTAATGACTGGTATATAAAATCTAGCTTTTGTTGTTATTAATGTAAATGTTTCTCTTAGATACAAGATAAATACCAGTTTATTCTACTTGTGTTTGAGAGTATGTATTAGTAAATGTGTATGATTTTGTGTGTAAAGGTTTCCACACATTTTCCATGAGAGTGGCATCCCTGCATTCCACAAGGGCAGAGATTTGATTTGTAGGTAGATTTGATATTGGTCTGTAATTGTTTATGTCCGCTGTCTCGCCTCCTTTATGAACTCCCATCACTCTTGCTTTTTTAAGGATATCAGGAAAAGTATGACATTCTAGAGATTTGTTTAATAGCAGAGCTATGGGTAATGCAAGAGCAGGGGTAGTGCAATATATTATAGAGGGTATTTCATTAATGTTACCAGCTTCGGTTTTAAGTGACTGAATTACAGATATGTCTGTCGGGCTGACTGGTAAAAGGAGTAGAGTGTTAGGATAGCTGCCGGTGAGATACATGTATGTAATATCATGTGTCTGGGTCACTGGGATTTTTCTGGCAAGGTTAGCACCAACTGATGAAAAGAAACTATTGAATTCAGTTGCAATATCTAAGTCTAATACATGTGTGTAACCATCTTTGGAAAGTTTTATCTGCTTGTTATGTGATTGTTGTTTAGATCTTAGGATGTTAGAGATGGCCTTCCATGTACTTTTCATATTTCCTTTTGCTTCTATAAATCTATTCTTATAAAAGGAAACTTTGGCTCTCTTCAATGCTATATTGGTAAGCATTGATGAGTATCTCTTATCTACAGTGGCACCTCGACTTACGATTGCCCCGACTTATGATAATTTTGAGTTACGATGTAAATTTGATAAAAAAATTTGACTCGACTTACGATAGTGTCGTCGACTAACGATATTTGTTGGTACACGTTTGGGTCGACCGAGTGCGTGTTTCCTGATCACGCGGGCCAACCTGCTTCAGTTTACTAGAGCTGCCTGCTTAGTGACAATCACGCCTATAAGAAATTAAGTTTTTGTGTTTTTTTTTTTTTTTGCTTTTTGAACATAAAACTGATTATTATATATCACACCATGAGTCTCAAAGTCAACATATGAAAAGTTCAACATATGAAAACCCATGTAACAATGACCATAGAGCAAAAACAAGAGACCATTCGTAAATATGAAGATGGTGTGCAGGTTGTTGAACTAGCTAGGCAGTACAACAAATCTCAGTCAATGGTATCCACCATACTTGCTAAGAAAAAGGACATTATGAGTGCTAAAGTGGCAAAAGGCATATCAATAATCACAAAACATAGAACACAAACACTTGAGGATGTTGAACAGTTATTATTAATTTGGATACACAGCAAAGAGTTAGCGTGAGATAGAGTTTCAGAGACCATCATTTGTGAAAAGGCAAGAAAATTGCATGAAGACCTTTAAAAGAAAACCCCTGTAACGAGTGATGCAAATGCAAAAAAAGAGTTTAAGGTGAGCAGGGGATAGTTTGAGAAATTTAGAAAAAGAAGTGGCATTCATAGTGTTCTGAGTGTTGTGTGTTGCGAGCTGGTGGAGGAACACAGCGAAGAACTGACCACTGAAGAACTTCACAAGGAGCAGCAACAAGAGACAGACAGCCGAGGAAATTTCTTCAGGGGAGGAGGAGACAGTACAGAATGTCCCTTCCTCATTAATTAAGAAAATGTGTGCAGCATGGGAAGAATTGCAAACTTTTGCTGAATGACTCACCCAAATCACGGTGCAGTAGGCCGTTGCCTTAACCTTTTAATTTAACACTATCCTGGATTTTCCACTTGGAATTACGGGCGGTTTAGATAAGCGCTTGTCGGATCACGACGTAAATTTACGGAACCGTGTTATAGTGGGTATTTACTACTCGATCGACTTGGGGTTTGTATGAATATGTTTGCCATTAAATTTTTGTTTTCTCTAATAGGCACAGTGCCAATTTGAGAAAACGGCAATGTATTGTAACTTAGAGGAGAGACTATCGAGTTGGTGACACAACGAGGGTAATCGCCCACTCCACACACTCTTGTGTTGGCCGCGATCATGATTCTACATTTATATGCATATGTCTGTGTAGAGAATTTTATTCCGAACACTATACAAACAAAAAAAAAAGGTGTGAAACAAGTATAAACTTGAAAAAACATGAGCAAAGTAAAAACTTTTTACGCTCACGGGTACAAACACGCGTAAGATTTTATTCGCCGCAAATTTATTTGACGCTCTGTTGGCCAATTCTACCCATGTTCTTATAGAACTTTCTATGTTATATATAAAACTTTCTATTGCGAACACATTGCTATAAAAATGAAATACATAGCTCGAGAAATAATGTCAGGACAGTGAAATAAGTATAAACTTTCAAAGCGCTGCATCACAACAGTGTCGTCGCTGCTGAAATCACGGCTAACGCTTCGCCCAGTTCCCACACTCGTGCGGAACATAATTAGACATTGATAGGCATATGTCTGGGTGGGGAATTTTATTGTGAGTTCAGTGATATCAAAATAAGCGCTGTAGGATGACTGTGAGGCTGGCAACAAACGAAAGAGTATGAACATTTACTTCCTGTTTGGGTGTCACGGCGAGTCATCTTCGTGTTTATTTACTTCGTGGTGGGATAGCAAATGCTTTGGTGACATTTTATGCATATGATCTTGTAGAGAATTTTATTGCCAACGCATTGATACCAAAATGAAAAACGTAGCTCGAGAATTGATGTTAGGAGCGTGAAAAGATTATAAACTTTTTTGTGTTTACGCTTGAGCGCCCAGAACGCCGCGCGCACAAGGCGTTTTTTTTTTCAGCGAGTGCCGCGCGCACTAAAGTGTTAATGACACTGTGATGCATCACTACAGACAAAAATTAAAACATATGGAAAAACAAAAATCTATGTTAAGGTTTTCAGTGAGACAAACAAGCAGTGAATCACAACCAGGTCCTAGTGGTAAGCAGGCAAAACGTAGGAGTGTGTGTACCCCAGAGAAGTCATCACTGCCTGATGCGATAATGGAAGGGGACTCCCCTTCCAAACAGTAACACCTCTCCTACTCCCCCCTCCTCACCATCTTCCATACGCCATCAAGAGTCCTCCATAAAGGTAAGATAAACATATGTACTGTATTGTAGTTAGAAAAAAAATTGTATCCAGTATAAAATGTATTTGTAAGTTAATATTTTGGAGGGTGGGGAACTGATTAATTCAACTCCCTTTATATCGTATGGGAAAAATCGCTTCAAATTACACTACGATATTTCGACTTACGATCCGTCTCTGGGAACGGATTACCATCGTAAGTCGAGGCGCCACTGTACTTCTTTTGTAACTAGGCCAATCCTAATTTTTGTTTATATTTGTTTCTTGTTAAATGCTTTGAGTACGCCACTTGTGAGCCAGGGGGTTGTTTAATCTTTTGGCAGTTACTTGCTTAGTGAGGAGAGGACAGTGTGTGTTGTAGAGGCTTACAGTTTTGGAGAGAAAGATGTCAGCTAATGAATTTATATCCTGTGTATTGTTGAGTTCAGATTCCCAGTTTATATTGTGAAGAGCATTTATGAGGTTCCCCTATTGTTGGTTTGCTGTATAGTCTAAAGGTAAGTTTATTGGTAACCGAGGGTGTTATGTCCATGTTTGTTGAGAGGAAGGTAGGACAGTGATCAGTTGTTCTGTCAGTGACTATACCAGAGACAAGAGGGGCTGTTATATTAGTCCATATGTGGTCCAGGTTTGTAGCAAATGTTTCAATAATTCGTGTGGGCTTGTTGAATGTCAGGATCAGCATACAGGAGTTCATGTATTTAGGAAGTATTCGACTTGGGGACTATTTTGTTGACAAAAGTCAATATTGAAGTCATCTCCTAGAGTGATGTGATTTTTATTGAGGTTGTTGTTTATGATTAGGGACCATATATTATCAGAGAATGTAGTTGTATTAGTATTGGGAATCTATAAATAGCTCCAATAATTATTGACGATTTATGGGATTTGACCAAGAATTGAGCAAAAGGCAAGTTCACAGCAGACGTCTCTATTGCTTCTAACACTTGTGCAATTGAAATTATCTTGGTAATAGATAGCTGTACCACCTACTTTTTTGTCAGGCCTGCTGTTGTGAATGTAGGCCTGAATACAATGTACACTTTCATCTTACCTGATATGTTATATTAAGAACCTGCCCAAAACGCTATGCATGCTAGTGGCTTTGCAAGAATGCAAAAATACCAATTAAGTGTAATCTCACCAACCCATTGTACCTTCTTGTGAATACATTATTATTAGTTGTAGTATGTTGTAAGGTGTTTGAGAACGCTCAGCGCTGTCCCAGAGTCAAAATAAAAAAGTCAAATGTTTATTCAGGTAAAATACATACATACAAGGGGTGATACAAATATTGATGAATTTATAGATAGAGCTAGTACATACAATGCCTAAAGCCACTATTACGCAAGGCGTTTCGAGCAGGAAAAGCACTAAGGACTAAAACTTAATACTAATTGAGATTAAAGTATAAAATGTATTGAGAAAACATAAAAATCAAAAAGGGGGAACATGGCAGAAAAACAGCAAAAATACAATTTGGTCGACAAACAGCATTATTTAAAAATAACAGACATGGTTGACATTACAGGGGTAAGGTAGGTTACAGGGAGTTTTCTTTTTTCACGGATATTCCTGTGCGGGCCCTAAGCCTCTGGCTGGCCCACTAAGTGTTGCTTGTTTCTGTTTTACTTAGGCGGAGTATGAGCATTTATGACTCGAACGGGGAGTTAATTACGTAGTGCTTAGTTTTTATCTTAAACTGGTTGAGAGAGGTACAGTCTTTAACATGATTGGGAAGGTCATTCCACATTCTGAGTCCCTTGATTTGTAGAGCATTTCTAGTTTAAGTTATACTCTTGGAATATCAAAAACGTATTTGTTTCTGGTGTGGTGCTCATGGATTCTGTTACAACCTTCAATGAAGCTTTTAAGGACAGGATTGGCATTACAATTCAGCGTTTTATATTACAGTACAACCTCGATTCAACGTACTATATGGGACCACCCCCAGTTCGTTGGAGCGTTGGATTCGTTGCAAGAGGTGACCTTCAAGAGGCGTTTGCGTCAGTGTCTTTTTTTTTTCTTGTACACAATAAAAATGCATTGTATCATATTACTTACTGTACCTATATTTTACTACTCTACTAAAAATACTGTAATTCATGTATTTACCTTATTGTTGGAGTTATGTCCATCTTGAAGTTTTGTGAAGTTGTGAATGCTCTACAGTAAATAGGTACTGCAGTGCATTAAGCCGTTAGCACTGCATTATTAAAAGTGGTTTTGCTGTATGTTGAGTACTACAATACAGTTCTTGAAAACATTAGAATTATTGCAACTTTAATTTTAACACTATGTACACACTTGAATTTAACACTTATTCTAATTGTTCACTTCACACACGATGTTTTTAGATGTTTGCATCAGCTTTGCTGGTGCTCGCTGCTGCTGTGTTGGCTTCAGCTGCTTTTGTGCTGGTGCTGGGTACAGCTGTGCTGGTGCTGGGTACGGCTGTGCTGGTGCTGGGTACGGCTGTGCTGGTGCTGGGTACGGCTGTGCTGGTGCTGGGTACGGCTGTGCTGGTGCTGGGTACGGCTGTGCTGGTGCTGCGTACTGCTGTGCTGGTGCTGGGTACGGCTGTGCTGGTGCTGGGTACGGCTGTGCTGGTGCTGCGTACGGCTGTGCTGGTGCTGGGTACGGCTGTGCTGGTGCTGGGTACGGCTGTGCTGGTGCTGGGTACGGCTGTGCTGGTGCTGGGTACGGCTGTGCTGGTGCTGGGTACGGCTGTGCTGGTGCTGGGTACGGCTGTGCTGGTGCTGGGTACGGCTGTGCTGGTGCTGGATACGGCTGTGCTGGTGCTGGGAACGTCAACAGTGCCAGAAACATTTTGGATAATCTCATCATCTGTTAAATGACCATTGATTAAATGATTTATTAATT